GCGGCGACCTCTCATTTTATTTTCTTTGAAATTACATTATTAAAAAACAAAATACTTTCTCGGACTTGAAAACTACCGTGTTCGATTTTTTTTTAAGAAACCTTGTCAATCTATGAAATCTTCATGTATAGAATGCATTAGATAGAAAATTCCATTGGCTATTAAAATTACTGTCTGAACTTCAGTGTAATTATTTACCATTATATAAAAAAAAAAATCAGATATATGTTGTTGTCAAACTTTTTTCTATCTGCATGTGTTAAATATGATCCTTTCTCAATATTGTTTTTTTAATTGTCTCAAATTTATATTTACTAACAACTGTCTGTATTAATTTTACAACTACTGATAACAATCGTTGGTTTTAATTACGAATGCAAAACAGTTTTTTTTTTGAAATAAAATCCAAATGTATTAAATACTATATTCAAAAACAAAAAATTATTTATTTATTTTTTCTTTAAAGAATAATATATTTTATAAGATTCAATAAACATTTTCTCTACAAATATTGATACTATTCCTTATCATATGACTCAATAACTGTGAATACTTCCAGATGTGTTCTATAGTAATTATTGTCGAATGTAACAAAAAAAAAACCACAATCATACTTGACTAGATGATCATCTGGTTTATTATGTTCATCAAATTCAACTTGAATAGTATCCATTGGAGTTGAATACATCATACGTTTTGGTTGTACAGTTGTTGGTTCTTAAAAAAGAAAAAATATTGAACTTCGTTTTATATAATTAGTTCTATTTACCATTAGGTGTAAGCATTAGATTTACAGTTGCACGATCCTTAAATATAATTTACAAAATTAAATAATATAAAATTTTTCTTTTTTTTTTTGTTTACTCCTCCGGAATCTGTTGGTACATCAACATGATGAACACCAATTAAAAATGAATAATCCATTATACGAAAACTTTCAAGTACCTAAAAATATGACAAATATTTTGTTTTTTTTTTTCTTTATTTTAATCTTAAATTTTAACGAACTCGACAATCACGTTGAACAGTTTTTGCAAGAGCATTATAAGTTTCTATATCAAGTAATAAACCATCAGGATGTCGTTCCATAAAATCTAAATCTTTCCATGTTGGAGATTCTTTACGTCTTTCTTCACTATTAGCTCGTCGTTTATATGTTGAACCTTTGAGATCATATTTTTCATGCATATATACATGAGATGGAATTAAATTATTCATTACAGTTATGCGAATATTTTTATTATCACCCTGATTAAAAGAAAAAAAAAAACAAATAGAAGAAACCTTTTTTTTTGTTGAAAATTTCAAATAAAGAAAAAAAAAATCAATAAAAGAAAAAAGAAAAGAGCAAAGCAGAGAGCATACAAACATAATCTAAATTCCACCTTTATGAAGTATATCATTATTTGATTTGATGATTAAACTTGAAAAGTAGATATACAAAAAATTTCTTTGAAACATATATATATAGAAGTCAAGTCATTTCATAAATCAATCTATTATTCTAATAATAGTGTTTCTATATATAAATAGGATATGTCAAAACACAAACAACACGATAGTAGAAGAAGAAGTAGAACTCTGTTTATCAATTTTAAGAACTTTTTTTTTAAAATTTTTAGATCAAATACAAGAGTTAATCAACTAGAAAAAAAAATCCCTTTGTGACTATTTGATTTCACTTACAATGCCAATATGACTATTTATTTGCATGAATCCTGAAACCTATATAGATGTAAATATTATTATCTCTATTCTCTCAATTCATTTTTTGTTTTCTTTCAATGCTTTCATAATAATTAATCCAATTATTCAGAGTACTAAAAAAAGAAAGATTTTTATTCATACCTGATAACAATAAAGACCAAAAAATTTTGGTAATAAAGTACGTGGATTTTGTGTAACATTCTAAAAACAAAAAAAAATCAATATTTATAATATCAAAAGAAAAAAAAAATCAATATACAAACCATATAATAACCGGGAAGGAGACATTTTAAAAATTCTGCCTCCTTTTTTTGTACTGTTTTTAATATAAATTCATCATCGGATGTTAAATAAAATAAACTTCCACTAGCACCCGGATTTTTTAATTCCCTTAAAGGTTTACATATAGAATACTAAATAAAAAAAAAAAAACAAATATTTTAATGAAATAAATCGATATAAAAACAAAAATATTAACTAAAAATTCATCTGGTCTTATATTAAATAATTCTCTAAAATGTCTAAATGCAACCGGAGCATATGAACGAATAGTAAAATCATTAAAACGATGTGCTGGTGTTGTTTTTGTTCCTTCTCTATTGAACAAAAAAGAATTTTATTTTTTCAAAAATAAAAAAAAAAAAAATCAAATGATCATCACCTTGGAAAATGTATTATTTCAACTGTAAGAAAATCTTGATAAAGTACATCATGTGCTGCTTTTGCTTGAAGACCACCAACAGTATATTGTATACCTAATTGTAATGCTTCAACAAGTTGTGTTATTGGTAAACGTTTAAATGTAACATTGCCTTGTGTATCAATACGTAAATGTCCAAGTTTATGTTTTTTACCTTTTCAAAAACAAAAAAAATGAAAAATAATATTGAAATTTCTTTTTTACCAATATCAACACCATCAATATCTTCGTCTTCAGGTCGATCATCATTTGTCTTTAAAATAAAAATACATAGTATTTTTATATTATAGAATTATAGAAAGAAAAAAAAATACTTCAACAGATTGTGCTATTGACGACATAATTTCGAAGGCAACATAAAGAAAAAAATAATAATAATAATTGTGTAAATCAAAAACAAATTTTATTTATTGATATAATGCCGACGCCATTTATTGTCTTATGTTTTATATATGTGATTGATCGAACAATCTGGTTTTGTCGTTTCTAAATGAGTAAAGAATTACATATTAAGAACTCTAAGAAAAAACAAACAATAGTAAACAACAGAATAGGAAAAAATATATAAAACGGCTGATAAAAAAAAAAAAGAAGAAAGAAAGAAAAACATACACACAATTATAATTAACCAATCAATAGGAAGAGATAGACTATAGATTACGCATACTAGAGCCATCTTCTGGAGTAAAACAATCGAATTGTTTTAAAATTCTCAATCAATACAAGTCTATTAGTTTCAAATATTTAAAATTCTGATATGTTAACACAATATTTAGTTTTTAAAGAAAACAAATTCTAAATAAAATTACAAATACTCATTAATCAGTTAGGAACATTACAAATCAAAACTAAGTCTCAAAGGATTTAGAAATATATCTATATATATTTATATCAATAGTATGTAGTTTCTATGCTCTATTCAAGGGTATTAACATATTTGTCACATCATAGAGACTCAAGTGTTCACTATTGATATAAAAAAAGCTAATTATGAATACAATATTTGTCTTGTACACTCAATGATAAAATAATAGTAAAGGAGAAAGAAAATATTAAAGGTATGTTCGATGATGCAGAAGGGAAACAAACCATATCGTAGTTTTTGGTTGTTAAGTATGAGATAACGACATGATTGTTTATTAATGAGATGCGTAGGACTGTGATACAAAAATTAAAAAGCATATAATTATTAGATAATGTATCACAAATATCTTATATTGAAAAATTTTCTGTGAGAAATTGAAAATAAAAAATAAAGATGAATAAAATCAAGAAAATTTTCTAAGAAAAAAATATAGAATTTTGTTAATTTCTTTTTTCTATCGAATGGCATTAATATGTTAATGTGAAAAAAAATAGGAAATTAAATTATCCTTAAGCAGTTTGGCTTTCAGTATTGTTTTCATAACATTGAAGTTGTTCAATACAATTTATGATATATGATAAAAATACTTTTATTATAAAAAAAAAAAAAAGAAACAAAAGGAATTTATATTATTAATGTGAAATTTTCTTTGTATTATACATTTGAACTATATGATAGAATAATATGATGTATAAATCGATAGTCTAATTTATGAATTTTGAATTGTAATTAAAAATTATCTTTTATACGTATTCTCTTAATTCTATTTTTATTTTCAATACTTTTTACCACCTTCGCTTATCACTAAATTTCTCCCCTAGCAAATTGAAAACGTTATGTCTGATTTATTCTTATAATTTTTAATTAAAAAGGTTTTCTTTTTTTTAAAAAAAAAACACGAAAACCACCTTAAGAATTTACGAAGACATGTTAAAAACTTAGAAATCATGTTGATATAAACTTATTAATTAAAATTCTAATTTTGCATGAAACTAATTAATTAACGAAAGTTATCTATTAAATCCGATGGATTGTTTCTCTCTAACAAAGATTTTCTATTTTGGGAAGGAATTTATTATGAAAATCTCAATACAAATAATTTAAGCTTCTATAAATACTTATTTTGACTATTGTGATGAATATAAGATTTATATATTTTACAAGCAAAAGAACAAGCAACTTTTTTTAAGTACTCAAAAATTTCTTTTTCCCAAGTTATTTCTTCGATTGAGCAAATGACTTGCATATGAATTGTGAAATATTTTATCCTTAAGGTAAAAGTACAAGAAAGGTCGTATTTCCTTTTTTTTGTTTTTTTTGCTTTTGTTCTAAAAAAAGAAAATGAAAACAAAAACGATTGTTCTTATTTTAACATCCAATTTGTATGAAAAATCAAAAAGATAAGATCATTTATTGAATATTGTTTAATCATTACACTAAAAAAAAAAAGGAAAGAAAATGAGATAATTTGATTTTTATCAATTTCTTTTTTATTTGATATCGAATAAATTGAAATGAATCTCAAATTTCATCTTTTGTTTGCTTCTTCTATTCTATTTCATTCAATCGTTTTCTTTTTCATTTCTTTTGTTTTTTTAACATACAATGTACCATTTATTGATCTATCTTTTGATTCTATTTTCAATAAATTATACAATTCATTGTTCGTATCATTATGTTGGATGTTATACACAAGTATTTCATGATAGTTATTTCACAAGTTCATTTATGGAACCAACATTATGTTTTCGTTTATGTGATACACCAATAATCTATTTACAAAGTACAGTATGTCGTTGTTCAGGTGGTGGTCTTATGCATTATAAACGACAAATTGATGAACTTTGTAAAATACCATGTACAAAACCAGTTGATCGTTCAATAAAATCAAGTAATACATGTGGTGGTTCATTAACATATTCAGCTTATGTTCAAGATAAATTTTTTATTAAACATGGACATTTATTTGATTATCAAATTCATTTTTCTTCATGTGAATTATGGACAAATCCTGATGTTTATGATACATCTGAAATTCAATTATCTAATATTATTGAACGATCATCTTTAAATAAATTAGAACAATGTGCAGCTGCATGTTTAGATCAAAATGCAACAACAAAATCAATAGGTAAATATATGTTTTATAAAATATTTACTTTAGAAATCAAATTTAGATTTATTTAAATACAATTGGGATTTGTTTTTCTCAATTTAGAAAAAATCGAAATATTAATACACTTTCTGTGAAACATGATCTATAAGAAATATTGAAATATAGAGATCGAAATTTAAACCTCCTCCTTCCCTCGTAGACATCATGATGACTCATTACAAGTTGCAACAGATGCTTGCCAATGATCATCATAGATCATGACAGATGCCTTAGCAGTGTCCTTCCTGTCTATCACGGATGTTGCTGATATACAATCAAAGGTCGTATGTCAATAACAAATATCTCATTGTAATACACAAAGTACTTTTTTTTATTACACTTCTGAAGGATTAAGTAAAATGATGGTAAAAAAAAAAAGTGTCTCAAAATAAATAGAATAATGTAATCTGCATGTGATTAACAAGAGCAATTACATTGTATGTCACATTTTAATCTCATAGGAATTGTGCTAATAGGTTTTTTTTTTTTGTTTCAATAGTATCTACTTTGATTTATGCAATTATTCACGTGTATTTGAGAATATAAAATATTGCTATACTTTAGAAATGATTCTATTGAATTTTAATAAATTATTGTGTAGTTTTTATTGTGTTATACATTGAGTGATTTATTGTTGACTCATAAATTAGACCATGACACGACGCTTCCGCACATGACATTTTCCCATTAAACATTACTTCGCCTACATTTACGTGTAAAACCAATTTTTTGGAAAGTAAAGGTGGAAGTAGATTCTTATTGATTTTTACAGATTTGGTTATACCTTAGTAGAGTTTGTATATTTAATACACCAAGATATATCTTGGTAGATCTCACTTTAAAATTTTGAATTATTTTGTAATTTATTTACTTCATGAACATGATATTATCGGATTAATAAAATAAAATAGCTATATGTAATTAATTATGGGCATTACATTTGGAATTATAAAGACAAGTCAATCAATTTTTTTCAGGAAAGAATCTTGTCAAATAATAAATCATTTTCTGAAATAGATCTTATGTTATAAGATAAGTCCAAGTGAACATAAATAAAGTCGACACGAATTTATGCTGATGGATATTTCTTTTTTTTTTTTTGATAGCATTCAATGATGATAATGACAAATGTTTATGTGTAATGCCATTAAAACCTAGTAAAACTTTTGATCGAACACATTATATAACAATATTATCAAATACTTCATGTGATCGTTATTGTAATAATACATATGAAGGTTCATCACATGACCTTAAATATCAATGTGGTTCATTAAAAAATCGTCAAATATGGGCTATATATGATTTAAATGGAACATGTCCAATAAATTTTATTTATATGAAAGAATTAAAAAAATGTATATATGCATATAAATATTTTTGGAATTCATGTACACCACCATCAACTAGTTTTACTTTTGATGATAGTATAACATGGAATAATTTATTAAAAATAATTGATAAATTACAATTAAAAGATTTAACTGTAACTATTGATTTTGATGATAGTGTTGTTATTGATAGTTCATGGAAATGTTTAAATTCATTATCAACATCAACAGTATCATCTTCTATGTGGTCATCATATATTTCACGTTCACGTTCAACTTTATATAATTTTAATTCAAATACACGTTATATTTTAGAAAAAGGATGTTTAATTGAAAGTTCATATTCATCATATTCACATCGATATTCATATCGTTTATGTATAACAGATTCAATTAATAGATATGCATTAACAAATGATGATGATAATAATAATGAAACTTATATTTTTTCTTTAAATCCACAAATAAAATATTGTCCAACAAATTGGTTTGATTTAAATGGACGTTGTTATCGTATATCAGATGAACGTAAAACAATTGAACAAGCACGAAATAGTTGTATTAGTATATCAACAAATGAATCAACTACATCTAGTCAATCTCGTATATGGTTATTTGATAGTAATGGTAATATAATTGGTGGAAATGAATTAAATGATTCACCAAAAGGTGAAATTGTTGAATATATATCACAATGGCAAGCTAGAATTGGATTTTTTCTTCTTGATACTGATCCTGATCATGGTAAGGAAAATATTTCATTTTGTTAAAACAAACAAAACAAAAAAATAAATAAATAAATGAACTAATCTTTTTATTTTCATTTTTATCATAGATAATGGAGTTACAGATACAACAACATCATTACAAAATCTTTTTTATGATGAATCTTTAATATCATCAGATACAGATGAAACTACTAATACTGATCATGGATCAATAAATGAATTTCAAGTAATTGATTCAAATGAAGATCAAAATATAACAAACAATACATGTATAATTATAACACGTACAATAACTGAAGAAGAAGAAAAACCAATTATTAAAAATCTATCTATAAATAATTGTTCTCAACCAAGACATGTTTTATGTGAAACAAATACATTAATTGTTCAAAAATATCTATATGATTGTTTTAATAAACCAAATATATTTGATTTACCAGCATTAATATCAAATTATTTAACACATGAATTATGTTTATCTTTATGTCAAGAATTACAAACAAAATTAGCTATTTTACATACTAATAAATGTTATTGTTTAAATGGTGCTACTTCAAATTCATTCAATATAACAACAGATTTACAAAATTTTCAACAAAAAAATTGTGGAAATTTTTGTCCAGGTATTGTATAACTTTCTACATAGAGATTTATTATAAATGGAAGAACAATATTATTGATTTTATGAACTTTTATAGACAGTAGTGAAGAGTAAATATATCTATCCAATAAAAAGAAAATGAAATAGAATTAAGATAATACCAGATTATCTAGATTCAAATAAGAATAAGAAATGACTATGCTCAAAAATATCCGAATCCAACTTTAGTTTGCACACCGATGTATTTCAATAAACACTTCGGCAATTATCTAAATATTCAAAATTATCTAAACTAGTTAAATAGTTCTTGAAAATCGAATTAGAGATCGAGTTCTTTGCATGTCTACTTACAAATTCATCTAGTAAAATCATACAAAACTATGTTTCAATTTTAGCTAGACACATTCGAAATCGAAATAAGTGATTCACTTTAGCAGTATTTTAATAAGATATAAATGAATAAACCTTGTCTCTCATATTTTTATCTCCAAACGATTATGTTCAATAGTATAGTCAGGAATTTTTTGAATAGTGAACAATTTCCTAGCCAAACTATTTTGAGGTAAGGGCATGTCATAACCTTAGAAAAAATCTTTGAACAATTACTATTGAGTAATTGTTATTAGCACAAGAAATTCGAAGGCGATTATTCAATGGTCCACAGCTAGTTACGCTACTGGATTGTATAAAATGAATATAGATACAAAATTTGATAGAATCATTAATCTCAAACACATTTTTATTGTTAATTTTTGTGAAGATATTGAGAAATATTCGAATATTGTCTTCATTAATAATTCTTTTTCAAACTTTCAATATGAACTTCATTGTATTAATATGTACCAATTTTATTCTTCAATATTAAAACTACTGAAACACTTACCAAATTAAACGTATTTACGAGAGAACATTCTCGCATTTCGATTTATTTTTCAATCGGAACTTCGTAGTAAATTATGTCTATTTAGAAAAGCGGACTGACATGTGATAAAATTCTCTTGTTAGTTAATTTAACTTTTCAACATTAATTATGATAGATCTACTATAAATAATAATTTCTTCTTTAGGTAATTCTCATGAAATATGTGGTAATAATAATACAATAGTTGTTTTTCAAATAATCGATTCTCGTCGTACATATACATTTGCTCGTACACCACCTGAACCATTTCCTAATTATGCTTATGATAGTTGTATATATTTAAATTCATTGAATCAATCAATAATATATCGATTTAAAATTTCTAATAAATATGACTTTCATCCACGTTATTGTTTAACATTTTGTACAAAATATCAACAAAAATATGCATTAATTAATGATATTGAATGTTTATGTACAAATAAACCAATGAAAGATGAAGATAGTGATGTTGATGTATTAACTGGACAACAATGTTCTCAACCATGTGCAGGGAATTATTTTTATTCATGTGGAAATAAAGATAACGTCACTATATATTCAATGTATTTATTATCACCAAAATGTCGACATGGTAAAGAAAAAAAAAAAAAAAAAGATTTGAATTTATGTTTTGTTTTTTTTCAAAAAAATTTTCATTTATTAAGGTTTTGAAGCTGCAGAAAATGATCAACAATGTGTTTTTAGTCATTTTTCTGCTAAAACAAATTCTCTTCAATTAGCTAAAAATTATTGTCAATCAATTGGAAGTACATTAGCAAAAATAAATGATATTGTTGAAATTCAAGATATTCTACCTGATTCAATATTACATACACGTCTTATGCAACAATTACTTCTTTTTTATAGATTTCGATTTGTTAATGATACAAGATATTATTGGATTGATCGTACAAGTGATTTAGCTGATCCAGCTACAATATCTGAACGTTTACTTAAACAATGTTCTAAAATACCTGAATTTATTGATAAAAATTGTATTGCTATACAATATGTACCAAATTCTGATCAAAGTATAATAAGTCATGAAAGATGTATTATTGAATCAAATGAATGTTCAACAATATCAGCTATGCCAGTTTGTGTTGATCAACATATAGAAATAAAACCAACACTTGTTCCACCTATTACAGATGAAAATCCATCACAAGTATCGGTTGATATTATAAGTGGACGTATATGTGATAATGAATATCATTTTATAGATGATTATTGTTATAAAATAATCGATCATGAAGTAAGTTGGAAAGATGCTCAAGCTGAATGTCGACGTGATAATGCTATGATATTTGTTCCAGAAAAATCTATTACATTACAATATATAAAATCATTATTTTTACGTCAAAGAACATATATATCATCAGGTTTTGCACATGTTGGTGTTTATTATGATAATTCAAATCGTACAGTTATGCAATATAATATTTCAAATGATTACGATGGAATTTCTATACCAGATTCTAATGCTATTTATGATTTATGTGAAAAAACATTTCAAGAACGTTATACAGCATTAATGATATCATCAAGTTTAACAACAAGTGAAAAAACTCGTTTAAAAAGTCAAAAAATTGGTTGTGCATACATTGATTTAATGTCAAATATTGTACCAACAATTCGATGTGATGAAATACCATGTAATCGAACAGCAACTGTTATATGTCAAAAATTATCAACTGTTCAAACAAAAACTATTCAAATACAACGGTAGGTGTGAAAAACAAAGCATGTTCATAGTAGAGTACTGCGGGATAAACTTTTCATGTTTCGTTAACTGTATAAAACTTATTACTTTTCACTCGCTTAGTTACCGTAACAAATTCTTCTTCTTCTTCTCAGTATATTAATCATGACTCAAGTTAGCCACACGTTCTCCGTATCTAACCATCATTTTGAAATGAAGAAAAGATTACCGAGTTGATGAAAATATGGCGAAAGCATTTGCTGAAATTCATTTTTTCAAAAAACTCGATTCTCTTCCAGGGGGCTATAAAAATGCGAAAAAAGATAATTAACACCTGAGAGTTTCCTTATACGGTCAAATTCATCATCTCTTAATTTGTCAATTGAGCCAAGATAGTTAAACGCGACTGAAATTTTTTATAATTTTCTCTACGGAAGTCTAAAATTTACAAATATCAGATATCGTATAGGGTTGTGTTCTGACATTTTTCGGACTCATGCAGTCAGTCTGTAGAGATGGAATCAGTTCGCTTCCAAAAAATACGAATCGTTCTCATCTTTATCAATTTTCTCGACTGACAATCTAGTTCTTTATTTAAATATTAAGATATTTCTTAGAAATAAAAAATTTTTAAGTGTACGATACGTTCTGATATAAAAATTTCTAACAAAAACACTCAGAATATTGTTTTTTCCATATTGTCCTGTTTTAAAAAAGTTTGGTAACAATTTCGTTTGTTCTATGGGACGACAGAAACGATATTTTTTTGAGATTTCGGATTGTTCCGCAGGACTCTAGTTTAAAGTTATTTGTTCTTTTACTTTTATATTTTAGAGAATATATTGAATTGCAATCGACTGATGTTGTAACTGATCTTTCATCAATTCCAATAGTAACTGATACTAAAACAATTTCATCAATAAATACTACTCAAAATGGAAAATATCTATTAGATTCTTCAGATGATATAAAATCTATTGGAAGAGATTTTGCTCCAATATTTTTAATTTTAATTATTCTTTTTATTCTTATATTTCTTGGTCTTATAAGTACAATATACAATCATCGTGATTTAATATTTCGTCATTCATATCGACGTAATACAAACTCTGTCTATTCTCAATTAACATCTGCAAATGAATTTGATTTAAATTGAAAATAAATATTGAAAAAAAAAAAAAAAAAGTCAATAGTTTTGTATGACATAATATATTTACAAATGAGAATATACTTCACAATACTATTGAAATTCATCAAATGACAAAAATAGAATAGATGAGAGTGAATAAAAAAAAAGAAGAAGAAGAAGAAGAAGAAGAAGAAAGAAAAACATCTTTGTATACTCAACTTATTAAAAATACTATTGTGTACATTCAATATTGAGTGTACTTGAAATCAAAGAGAATTTCAACTATGCATAACAATGTTTTTAAGCAATGATTTTTTATTGGTTAAAATAAAGTTTCTTAGACAAAAAAAAAAAGAGAGAGAGAACTTCTTTCTTTCAATATATATATATGCGTTTTCTTTTTTTTTTGTTTGGTTGATTTCTAATTTTACGTTGAAGATTATATTCAATATTTACTCTTTTTGTTTATATTTCTCTTGTCTACTTATATAATATTAATGAAAATATATATATATATATATACATAATTAGAGAATATAAAAAAAACAAAATAGAGAACAAAGAGAAAGAGATTTTTGTTTCTCTCTTGTCAGTTTTATTGTAACAATGAATGTCAGTATTCCATTTTCAGTAATATATACTATTTTAACAATGATATTGTATCTACTATTGTAGAATATTGAATTTATTGTATTTAGCAAACTTCATAAGAGTAGACAATGACAATCATAACAAAAGATTAATTAATTATATTATCGAGCAAACAATATTAGAGAGTCTCTTAATTTATAAATAATAAGAACAAAATAATGCAATCGATAAGTATCTAAACTGAAAAATGAGATCATGTTTTGTTTTTTTTTCAAATTTCTATTGCTCTTTTCTGTTGTTGTTTTTGTTGTAAAAAAAAAATATTTATTTTCTAGACCTTCTAAAAAAAACAATGAATCGTATTCTTATGGTTATACGTTATCGAAAAGCAACACATATTGGTTTAAGTATTTCATTTACTCGAATATTTGTTCAAGTTTCTTATCTACCTATTGCTGAACGAAATATTCAAAATTATTTCTAATTTTCATATGTATGTTTTTTCATTATCAATTTTTCTTTATATTCAAAAAGTTTTTCTTTTTTTGTTTTTAGGAATATTTAAAATTATTACTATTAATCAATTTGACAAATTGGATAATCTAAACAATATATGGATATTCATCGAAGAAGACAAATGTAATGAAAGACAACAAATAAAACAATCAAGTAAGATTTATCAATATGTATATACCTGTATATGCATATTTTTGAATATTAAATTTCTGCAGTACTACTGAATAGACTTAATTGCCTTATCATTGTATGGTTTTTTTTCATCAATAAAAACTTTCTCTCTCTCTCATATGTAAATGAATGTAGACTACTTAAAACAAGAGGAGAAGGACAAATATCTTGCATGTATATGTACATATATTCAGGGTTAATTTCTTTTTTTTGTTATAGTTCAATGTTAATGCATAATTATTGACTTAATTAAGTAATAGAACAAGGATGAAAAAAAAAAAAAAGAAACTTTTATTTGTCTCTATTTCCATATTTTTAATATTTGATTTATATATAAAAGTTAACATAAAACTATGGCTTTTTTTTTTGTCTTTGAATTCATATGTAAATTAATATTTTAAGAATTGAGATAAGATAAGACACGATAGTCAATAGCATTTATTTTCTACTTTATATAGTTAACAACAATCAACTTTTATTTCATCAAATAATTTTTTTATATTCATACAATCTAAATTAGTCTAGCATGTGCTTATGTTTGTGATATCTACGACAATAAAAAAAAAAAAAAGCTTTGAAGCTATGTCACTAAAGCAATACTAGACGATCGATGATTGATAGATCAAATCGAAGCACTAGACAGACATAAGGACATATATACAATATATATATATATGTATATAATATGTAAGTATTACATCGATTCAATATAAGATCGAGAAAAGAAATGAATAGTTTGAACAGTTCGATACAGAAGTATAAATGTATACATGTAAAGTATCTTGTCGTTTATCTTAACTTGATGAACGATAACAATGACATTTTGATCATAATTATCTATGTTGTAAAAAATAAAATATTCATAGATTTTTTTTTTTTACTCTCGAATGACACTAAGATATATTTTATTTCGATTAGTATCATAAAAAAAAATCTCCTATATGAACTTGTCTCAATTATGAGTATATTCTATATCTTGATGTGACTTTATATTCGTGACGATTTATTAGTATAAAGCAATTGTATTATTTGAGTGTGAAAATTTGTCCTTGTCCTCAGGATTTTTTTTTTCCTCTATCAAGGATGCACTTTCATGTACTTATATATAAAAAGGTGTAGGAGTGATATTATCTTTGATCAATGTGTTCAATCAGTATTCGATGTAGTATGAAGGCTTAATCATGCATTTGTTCACACTTTGTCCTTTCCGATTTTAATAGCTTTTTCTTTTCATAAGAAAAAAAAAACTATCATGCCAAAGTATAATCGAATTTTGGTCGACTAAAACAACAACAACAACAACAACAACAACAACAATGATGAATAATATTTTTCAAGTTTTCTTTCTTTCTTGTTTTTTGTTTATTCATAATTGAAAATATGACCATATGAAATGAACTCATATGGATTATCTTAATAGCTTTTGCATAACTTATTTACTTAGAATAACGTACCATATGGTCATTAACAAATGGAACAATCATACTAATATATATATATATATATATTAGTTGCATCCTTGTATCTTTATGGATGTATCTCATAACTCTCATTTTGTTGAACTAAGACAAGGCTAACAAGACAAATGTTTTAACGGACATTTGCAGTTATTAGAAATAGAAACAGAAGGTATAATCAATAATCCGTAGCTTTTGTCCTTAGAGTCGCAAAGAATATCTGAGAATGGAAAGAATTGAAGCGTATGTGTTTATTGTGCAAATAGATGAGGAAAACCGAAGCTCCATCTGCTGTTTCTCATCATCATCATCATCGTCACATCACCATATATGTGTATAATGTGCTATGCTTTATTGACATATCGATCATAGTGTATATGGGTAGTGTATCTCGTTCAATGAGTATATGCGTAATATCCTCTTCCTCTTTCTCCTTCATTTCTATGTCATTCTTTTTTTTTTATCCTTATCTCTTATATCAAATAACGCTCTGTTGCTTCTCGGTTTTTTTTCTACGTTGCTCTATCCATTGTTCTCTTATATGTATACATGTATAACTATGTAATCGAATAGTGAAAGCGACAAGCTCATCATCATTTATTAATCCATAATAAACGTTACACTAGGTTTCTATTTCGATATTTGGAATCGATACCAGATGAAATGAATATAACAGGTAAACGAATAAATATGTGTGTGATCAGGAGAATACGAATAGTTATTGAATTGTTATTATCAATGATGTATAAAGGAAGACATTTTTTCAAAGAGTAAACATTTTAAATGAAACCAACAATGTTTTCATTTTGTAATTTTCTCAAATAGACTATCCTTTTAAGTTGTTCGTACATAAAAGCATACACATAAATAATATTGTTGATGAGTAAAATCGTATGGACATATTTATTCTATTTGTTTCGTTTTTTGTACGTGCTTTCTCTTTCTTTTTCTCTTGCTTAAAGAGTCTCGTACATGTGCGTCAGACTGAGATTCTTTTTAATTCATACTCACATCTTTTATGCGAATGCATATACAATTTTACAAAAAAAAAAGAACCTATTTTTTTTCAAATCTTCCTCTCTTGTCCTTTTTTACTTGATTACATTATATACAACGACATATTACAAAAAGAGAAAAGAAAAAAATAAAGACTTGTGATGTAGAAAAGGAGAAGAAAAGGGGAACGATGACTTCTTAAGTGCATGATGGACGAAAAAAAAAAAATTTGAATTATTTATATTTGACAATATGCTGTTGGCATCGATAAAAAAACAAAATACGCAAAATGAAAGAACAAAAAAATATTCGTTTTTTTTTTTGTCATTATTGTTTGTGCATTGTCAGACATTCACTTTCAATAATAATGAATTGTATCGATCAAATAGCAGAAGGAGAAGAAAAAGAAAAAGAAGAAGAAGACGAGGATCATGCTGATATAGTAACAATGATAAGTGAGGGTAACATAAAAAGAAAAATGCAGAAAAAGAATTTACACTTGTCTAATATTGACTCATATTGTCTCGTTGTTATATTACAAATCCTGTCCAAAAATTTTTTCTTTCCTTCTTTCTTGATTCGTCATAGTAGAGCCTTTCGTTAGACTTTTATACATATGTATATAATTGAACATATGGCATAGAGACCTTTACTTTTAGTTGATCAAGTTTGTTCTGTTCGGCCACCACGGGAATATTGTAATCACAACAGTAGTAACAACAACATTTGTTCAAGCAAACAGACTAGTGACGAGACTGATCCTGCTAAATATCAAACGATAAATCGATCGACTTCTTTACCGGCCCGACAGACGTTTTCTTCAAATAAAAACAATAACGAAGATGTAAAACAACGTCGACGATATGCAAGCAGTTCCAATAACAATAATAAAAATATAACTACTTCATTAGTTACTTCATTTCTTCAATATTTACGTAGTGAACTAAGAGCAACAACGAATGAAAATAATAATGATTATCAAAGAATTCAAGAAAAGGTAAAAAAAAAAAATACATTTCTTATCAACACTCACTTTTTTTAACTCTATTAATCTTGTTAAAAAAACATTCTCTGATAGATATATATATATTTTACTTGGTTTATAGAAACGAAAGAGAAAATAAAATCTTTAAATATATACATATCCTTTCATAATTTTTTTTTTTCAATCGAAAAAAATTACCAACAATTTATTTCTCGTTTCTTTTCTTTATTTTTTTCTTCATTCTTAACTACCTCCGGTTTCGATTTATCGAAAAAAAAAAAGAAAAATTCATCTTACTCTTTTTTCTTGGCAAACGGATACAATACAAATTGATCGTGCTTTATGTGATTTGGATTTCTAAAAAGGAATACACTTTTATGGCTGTTCTTCATTTTTTTTTCACATCAATATACATCTCATATGCTGATTCTGTCGTCTACTCTTTTAATCGAACAAATAATTAAAAATTTTTTTTTTTGCTTTTCTTTCTCATATGTATATATTCATATAGAAAGCATCTGAAACCAACAATTGTTTATCTCAAAGATTTTATTTATCAAATAATTTTTCTCGTCAACAATATCCAATTCAAATGTCAACATCGTCATCGTCATCAACTGCTTCTTCTCAATCATTAATTAATAATTCGAAAAAATTATCAAATAAAAATTTATTAAAAAATACATTTGATAATAATTCTACTAATGATGATAATGAAATATTAACATTAATTAATTTACTTATTTTACGTATTGAATGTTTACCTAATGATAATACATTAATTACTGAGAAAAAAAATAACGAACAAACTTCAAAAATTAAAGAAATTGATCAAAATTTAATTGAATATCTTTATTATCTATTTAATAAATTTATCAATGAAGATATTGATTCAAATACACCTATGGTAAATAAAACAAACTTTGTTAATATTTGCCAAACAGTAGTACGTAGTGGTTCTTTAAATATGTCATCAACAACATCTCCTGATCAATCTTTTTCGGAATCTACTTTTACAAATGATAGTGATCAAACACTAATTCAAACGTCTGTACGTGAGTATACAGCAGATATAAATGATATAGCAGTAAACAATTCATCGTTGAATGAACAAATTTCATCTGCATCCATGAATGATCAAGAAGCTTGGCTTATTGTTGATTTAGAAGAAATTAAAGCAGAACGTTCAACAACAAATTTTGATGAATCAAAAGTGAGGCATTTTTTTATTTTTCTTTCTTTGTTCTTTTCAAGAGAAGAAAAAAAACAAATGACTACAGAGAACAATTAAATGAGATAAATCTGACAGACAGCTGCAATTTTTTTTTTTTTCTTTAAAATTTAGTCTGACAAGTAATAGAATAATTTCTCATAGAGTCGATTTCGTTTCTGTATTTATCATATTCATTCGATCGGCGGCTTTTTTTTTCAATATGAAAGGACGTCTCAATTATTTTCGGCATTTTGTATTTAAAAGAAACAAGGTGACAGTCTAAGGTCGTCTGTTATAAGCGGTGAAAATTTATAAACGATATATGCATAGATTTCTTTGTGATCAAAAAAAAACTTTGAGCAAACATTTGCATATATTTGTCAATATTACCTCTTAAACGAGTCATATTACCCATGCAAATATAAGGCTACGAGATAATCATCTTTTTAATGATATATCATAAATCTTCGCTTCGAGAAAAGAGAAAAGGAGCGTTTTTCTTCTTTTTTTTCTCAAACAGAATAATATATTTTGCATTAGAAGAAACAATTTACTACTTTCAACACAGTAAAAAAAAAAAAAGTAAAGCCGATAACAGTAAATATCAATATTCTGTTTCATTGATAAATTATCCATTGAACGAAACCTTTAAGTAAAACAAATCATCTTATCTTTTTAGTTATAATTTTGACCTTTATAAATCAATTAATTTAATTCTCACATTTGTCCTATGACAGTAAAAGTGTAAGAATAATAAAGAAATGCATAAGACTTTTTTTTTTCTTGCATAGTTATTCACGCCTACTCGAACATGAGCAAGTTGCGTCATAGAGACAATTACCACCAAGAGCGTTACTTTTTTTTTTTTTTCTTTTTCTCGGATATGCAAGAGCTAATAGTATACACGAGACACGGTACATATATATATATATATATAAGATAGGTAAAATATTATTTTTGTCTTGTTCTATTCAAGTGTTTATTATCATCACCAACCTGCGATGATCATTTATTACCACCAAATGAAAATTACTTTTCCATTGAAGAGATAAAATTCTCTGAATCTGAATCATCACATAGTAATTATTACTCGCCTGATTCATCATTAGATGATTTAGAAAATATGTCACATGAAATTATTGAAATAAATAATAACAATAATAATAATATATTATTGAAAGAAGGTAAACATGTTTTTCTTTTTTTTTTTTCTGTTGAATTTTATGCTTTTGTGTATAATAACAGTGCATCTTTCGGATCGAAATACATAAGAGGCAAAGGAAAAAAAAAATATAGTTTATATGCTTTCTTCGAATAAGAGGTAGACATAAAAGAGAAAGAAGAAGAATAAGAAGAACAAGAAAAAAAAAAAACGAAGAGAAGCACATTTGTTGTTTGATCATGTTAAGACTATTTCAAAAGACGGTCAAACAAATTCGTGGGTGATCAAAAAAAATAAAATCATTATTTTCTTCTATTATTCTTATTCTATATTAAATAGAAGGATCATCATCATCATCATCATCATCATCAAATGAACATGCTTCAAATAATACTAATGTCATTATAGAAGTAAAAGATACTACAAGCAATGACAACATTTGTACAGGATTAACTAATGATTGTAGTACTAATAATAGTAGTATTGATAGTAAGGAACAAGTAGCATCATCAATAATGGAGACAAATGAACAGATGACAATGAATCTAAATGATAAAACGTCCCGACGTGAACGAAAAATGCAAGAACGTTGGACAATAACAACTAAAAATAATAAAAATACAAATGAACAATTACCAACAAAAGCTTTTTTAGGTGTAGAATTTCCACCAATAGCTGTACTTAGACGAAAATTTTCATCATCACCACCATCAAAATTAAATACAATACCATTAAAAAAAAAAGATTATTCAACTGTAAAAACAAAAGTATTATTAAATAAAAATGAAATAAATAATTCTTTACAAGATAATATTAATAAAACAAATGAACATATTTCATCAACACCATTAAATCGGTCAATGTCATTACAAAATCAGGTCAGTCAGTTTATTATGTTAAATACTAAATTAAAAACATTTTTCAATGTTAATCGATGTATATTTGAGACTATGTTCTCGATATTTGCTTTCTAATATGAACAAGAGTGGGAAAAAAAACATAGTTATTCTAACCTTGCTATTTGATTGACATAACTACATGAATTCTTATTTATGCATCTATCAACACTTTTCGATTCAATCTTGATAACTTACAAAACAATATTTATGATTCAGAACAAAGAAAAAAAAAAAACAAAATATCTTTATTAAATAGATAGAGTACACCTTCATTTTGTTGCGTATGATATGTTATATTTCAACTATTAGATAAATTAAATCAACTATGCTTAAGTGATAAGAATTCGTTTTGAACTTGTTTAAAACTTTGTATGATAATAAAATTGAGTATAAGAAAAATATATATATATATATTTTTTTTTTCTTTTGTATTAAAAGAAAAGAATATTATCCATGATTTAATATTTCTCTATGATAAACATGTTAGTTTTTTGTAACAAGTTAAAAATTTATTAATCTTGTCGGTAAATTTGATTTGTTATGTATTGATTTATCAATATTCATTGATTATTTCTTATGCAAATCATGGTTTTTTTTTTAAACAATATTAGTTAATATAAAATTTTTCTTCATACATTCGAAGCCAAATAATCTTGTCATCAACTTGACCGATTCTTCACTCGAGTAATACCACTTGCCCTATGATTGTTTGTCTAACGACATACACATACAGACAGAAAGTAATTCTTTTCTCTTGACTACTACTAAAAGTCATTGTTACAACGAACCATTTTTTTTTTTTCTGATTCCTTTCTCTAATGTGATGATAAACGTAACATACGCATACACATACACACAAACTAAAAGACCAATTATATTATTTATTCGAGTATATTTTTAGGAGATTAACACATCAACAACAACAAACATAGTGGACAAAACAAAACATGATCATCAAGTGCTTGATTTACAATCGAATGGTAAAGTTTTTGTAAAATCATAGAAAAATCACCGAAAAAAAACAAAAGAAACATTTTCCTTCATTACTACCAATTATAATTCCATTAAAAACGAAAAAGTCTCTATATACATGAGAAAGAACGAGATGAACAAATTCTTTTTCTTTTTTTTTTCTATTTTACTCTATTCATCTATTCTTGTCTCTAAAATGAGATGTCATCAATTGACTAGTTAGTCGCTTCATTGATCACTATCAATCTCATTTATGACAGATGACCAAGGATTGAACATATACTTTTATATATACATATATCTACACATTTTTTTTTTCTCATATATTGACATCATTACTTCATTTAGATACTTCGTCACTACTAATTTGTAATGATAGTAAAACTAATGATGATATACAACAATCATCAACAATTATATCAAATTTATTAACAGATGAAAAAATTCTTAATGAAAATATGAAAATCGAAACAAAACAAGATTTAATTGAATTTGACAACGAAATTACTACAAATATTAATCATAATTTAGATCAGCATGAACAAACAAATATAAATAATAATAATAATTCAATTATGATATCTGATTCAATTCATACAAATTCACCTTCATCGTCTTCTTCGTTATTATTAATGTCTTCTTCTTCTTCTTCTTCGTTAACAACACCTACAAATGAAGAAAAACTTATTGAACTTTTACCAAATGAAATAGAAGAAGGAAAAAAAGAAGAAGAATATTTTGACGGCGGCGACGACAATGTTCATGTAGAGAAAAAGAACAACTTCAATGTCGAACACAACTCCTACCATACATCGGGAATAATATTCATAAACGATGAACCAACACAAGCAGGCTTGTTAGAACAAGAAAAAAAAGAAAAAAAACGAAGAAGAAAAAGAAAAAGAACAGCCACTACTAACATTAGAGCAATGCAACCATCAACATTTTCAAGGTGAATCTTCAGTTAAAATCTTATCGAATAATTTAGAATATAACGTAAATATGTCAAATATTGATAATAATGAACAATTATATAAAACAATTGAAATTGAAGAAATACCAGATGAAGATGATGATCTATTAAAACAAAATAATTATTTAATTGAACCAACAGATTATATTCTTACTGATGATGAACTTAAAATATCACGACAAACATCACAAAAATCACATAAATCAACTACAAATGATATATCTTTTGAATTTGATCCTGTTTTATCATGTTATGAAAAAGCATTTTCAAAAATGGTTGAAAATATTGATGATTCAATAAAGCCTTCAAATACAACATCAAAAGAATCACAAGTACCATTAAAAACAACATGTCATCAACGTCCTGAAGATGATCCTATTGCTTTACGTGCATTAAAACGTTTTGAACAACGTATGAATGCTGCTATGGCTACTAAAATTGGTAACGATGAAACAAATCCATTAATGGTCAAAGGTAAATCATCATGGTCAGGTACACAATCTACTCCACGAAAATCACTTGAAAATGTTTTTAAAAATGATCAAACAATACCATTAACTTCTACTTCAATTAATGAACAATCACCAACAAAATCTTCACGTGATACATTTATTCGACCACGTAAAACAATACTTGATGATATTGGAATTAATCTTGGTATTAAACGAAATTTACCTGATAGTACTATTCAAAATAATTCAACAAATAATGATAATCATAAAATAGAAGAACAAGAACAACAACCACAACAAACGCCAATAGCTATAGTAGAAAATAATGAAAAACAAGGTGAGTGTATACACTTAAACGCTGCTTAAATGAGTATTCATTTACATTTTTTTGGAATTAACATGAGTTAAGATTATGAAATATTGTATACCTTATCGTTACATGAAATTATTCATATAAGATATCTATCAAAAGTTTTATACTAAAAATAATAATAATAAATCGATTTCGAATGAAATTAAATTCAAACAAATGCTATATATATATATTGTTTATAGTATATATTTGTTAAGAATTATTTTAATCCCATGACAATAGTCAATGATTATTTATTGTTAAATAGTTAATCAAATAGAAGTAGAATATCAGAAAAATTTATTAAAATAAATGAATTCTATGTAGCTTAGAAAGGTTAAAAATGAACGTTTATGATATCATTTCGAAAAGCCATCATAGGATAAAAATAACTTTCACAAAAAAAAACAATTCTGCGTGTGTAATGAACAATAAGTGAATAAAGTTTGGACTGAACAATAAAAATAGTGTAAAAATGCCTGTGACATAGAATGAGCAAAGGAATATATATCATATCATATAATAACAAAATTCATCATCAAAACTTGAAGAAAATTTCATTGATTATTTATATTTGATCATTCATTTATAATTTGTCACTAGTAATACGTTGTTTACTCAATCGTAAAATTTACCATATAAAATGAAATCTCTAATATGATATCTTTTATGAATAATATCCACTCACTCGTGTCATTTTTTTCTCTCTCTCTCGCTCCCAAAGTGTTGATTGGAGACCTACACTACTATATTCTATATATGACATAAGCAAAAGAAAAAATTTGAAAAGAAAACGAATACAAGGATACAAAGTATTGAAAAGAAAAAGAAACTGACTTCATTGTACAGTCCAACAAATATTCCTATTCAGTATGAAAGTCTGTAAATCATTTTTTAAAGATATTCATTAAAGTTTGGTTCTTTTCTTTATATTCAACGATCGATCAATAGCTACCTAAGTTGAATAGATTGAAAAGACATTTGTTTAATGATTTGAAAAAAAAGAAAAAAGAATGTAAGAGAGTACAAGCTCGTGTATATTGAGCTTAGAGCAACAGAAAAAAAAAAAAGAAGTTCATATTTGCTTTGCGCGGCGTTAGTCTTTTATCATAACCTCCATGGCAGCAATCAAATATCTTTTCTTTCGTTTTTCACGAATAGAAACGAAACAGAGTAATATGAGACCCTTGGCTACCATCAGCATTACTAAAGATGAAAATAATAAAATATAACCCGAATGAATTCGATGATTTCATTTTCTTTTTGGTTATTATGTATGTTGTGTGATCGAGTTGTAGACAAAAAAAAAAAGAATGTTTAGCTGTAAGGCTCCTCATTCAATCTTCTTTTATGATTAATATTATTGTTTAGTTTATAAACGATTTTTTTTTTTTTATGTTGCAATTTTATTTCAGTTGTTCCAGACGAATTAATAAAGACTATTGTTTCTGAAGGTCATCAACAACAAGAACAAGAAATGATAATCAATTTATTAACAACAAATGAAAATAGTTCGAGTAATGAAGCAGAAAATTCAAATTCATTAGCTACTTCATCACTCGATAGTTCATTAAATACAGTGATTTCACACTCATCATCTGAACAACAAACACTTACACCATATCGTCTTCAACTTGAAGGTCGTCGTCGTTTAAATACACTTGAACGTATTCATGATCGTCATGATTCAAATGATTCAACACAACAATTTCAAAATCAATACACAGTTAAACCTGAAGAATTACAAGATCCAATTATTCGTCGTGCACTTGAACGTTTCGATGAAAAAAGTCGTTCATTAGCACAAACAGTAAAACCATCAAATTTTGATAATATTCAAGATCCTATTACACGACGTGCATTAATGAGACTTGAAACAAATTTAAAACGTACTATGCCATCAAATCCTTCAACAACATTAACATCAACAAATAATAATGATCCAAATGAAACATGGTATACAAATAGTTATACACTTGGTTCATTGCAAACAAATAATGATAATCGTTTAACACGTTATCCTGATTCATCTTTATCATCAACACCATCTAATAAAACACCTCATGTTTCTATACATCAACGTTTTTGTTCAACATCATCATCTGATATGTCAGAATTATCTACAAATAATATGATATCAAATAATGAACATGATATACCAATCATGCGTGTACCAACACAACCAATTTATGTTACATCAAATAATCATCAACAACAACAACAACAACAACAACAACAACCGATTAGTTTACGTCAACGTTCACATTCTGAAGATATGCTTTCATCAAGAGATATTTCCATGAATGAAATAACAAATCTTGATAATAATAATAATAACATAAATCAATTACAACAAGATGATTTATCAGATGAACTTCAACAACAACAACAACAACAAGAAACACCATCATCAAATGAAATTACTTCAAATAAAACTGATTTACCATTACCAACTACAATAATTAAATCTCTTGATCCAAATTTTGTTCGTACAACAGAAGCATCTATTAATTATGTAACACCTACACAAACATATTCAGCATATAGTTGTGAATATACACGTCCACATCAAAGTTCATTATTAACATCACCGAAATTAGAATTATCATCTCCTAGAAATTATCAACAACAAAATGAAAATGATATTCAATATTCAAATCCATCATCATCATCATCATCAGCATTTACACCTGTTCATCCTTCAACAAATAATTATCATCCTCAACAACCATTACCTACACCATCGTATACGTCAATGTATACACCGAATAATCTTAATCAAACACCATATTCTGATGATCCAATGTAAGTTTAAATAAAATAATCATCATAAAAAAACAAAAAAAGAAATTTTCTCTTTCTTCATTATAGTGTTCGTCGAGCACTTGAACGTTTTAATTCTCAAATGCAAAATAGTCTTATGCAGATGCCACAACAGCAACAAAATATGAATGGTATGTCTCGTACAATTCCTAATGGATATCCACGTCAAGGAAATCTTGATTCATTTTATCCCAATGATCTTCATCCATACGATCCATGGGCAAATTTCAATCGTTCTATGCCACCAACACCTAATGCAAGTACTGGTTATCAATCAATAATTGGACGTCGTCGACAATTACGTCATGATGACAATTATCATGATAATACAAGTGTTGGTAATGCTTATACATCATTATTATTTGTTAATTCTCAAAATCCATATCCACAAATAAATAATCCTTACATGAATTTGCCTGATGAACCACCTGCGATTCCACCACGTTTACATCGTGATGTTTATCGTGAACAACAAGAATATATATCTGAAAATGTTAATAATAATAATAATAATAATAATAATAATGCATATATTCAACAGGGATATTCAACAATGCCAAATGGATTTCGACCAATAAGTCATACATATATGCCATCAGATTCTTTTCATCAATTTCAAGACGATGAATATTTACGTCATCGTGCACAATCAACATCAAGTACAACATCATCGGATAGTGTTCATCCAATACATTTAACTAAACAACGTTTACCTCCAACATTTGCAAGAACAAATATACAACAAAATAAAAAACTTTTACCTGATGATCATTCACAATTACAATCAGGTAAATAAATTCAAAGCAAAAATAAAAAAATAAATATTAATTCGTTTCATTTTCTTAGGTCAAACAACACCAAATAATGGTAGTATAGCAGGTGATTCTGTATTTCATCGTCTTGCATATACAGCAACAAAATCTTCATTATCAAAATCAAGTTCAAATTTATGTGCAAATTTATTAAATAAAACTCCACAGCAACAACAACAACAACAACAACAACAAAATAAATTAAATAATTTAAAACCATATGAAATTGATTATGATGATACAAATAATATTCCAAATAAACAAGAATCAATGTCAACATCAACAAATTTTACAAATAAATGTCAACGTTCAAGATCTGTTGATGGTCGTGCACGTTTAAAAAATGCTCAAATTCGTAGTAGTAATAATAATAATAATAATCATCATCATATAAATCGTTCAACAAATGATTCTGATGATAATAATTCTACAGCAGCAGTACCATCATCAAAATTTACATCAATGAATACACGTCGTGATGCTGCACCACCACCACGTATTCCAATAACACCTCGATCAACAATATCCGATCGAACACCATTATCAAAACGTGTATCAAGTGGAAATAATTTATCATACACAAAAAATCATAATGGAAATCGAACACGAAATTCAAATGGAAATTTAGTTGATACAGATAATGATGAAAATTTAACATTTAATGATAATTATCAACCAAAAATAATTGATAATAAAACACGTGCATCAATGCCTACTCATCGTTATACAGCAAATAATAATAATAATAATAATCATATTCAATCATCAGCATCAACATCATCTGTTAATAGTACAATGTCTCGTACCAAAGTTCCAGTACCAATATTAACAAGTCTTGATAAAAAAGATTCAAATCTATCTGGTACTGATCTTAACAGGTTAGAATTAATTATATTAATTTTATTATCAATTAGTAAAAGTTCTATTACAAAAGCTTCTTTGAATCAATATAAAACATCATAATAGATTTTCTTTAGTGAATCAAAAAAAAAAAACCAGCTGTGTGCACAATTCATACGGGATTAAAATATGAAACATGATATAGGCGTTGTTGTTAATCACAAGAGGATTTTTTATTACATTTATTTTGAGGCACATTTCTTCACCATGTTTTTACTTAATCCTCCAGAGACGCAATAAGGAAGTAGGTCACAAAACGTTAATTGCTATACGATCTTTAATCGTATATCAACAATGGAGAGGAGGACCATTGTTAAGGCATCTCTATCACAGTCTATGAGGAGGGAAGCGCAAATTTCTATTTCTACTTTAACACTTCTATGTGATGTACTCATAACTAAAACACAATGTTTATTGATTGATAAATTCTTTGTCGTATGAGTTAGATTTATCTTAGACTTAGTATTCAGTTAACCTTG